TAATTGTCAGACTTAATCGATTTCATTATATATATATATATATATATATATATATAGCTAAAGAGAAAAAATTCTAAAACACTATATAACAAATTTAGTATCAGGGATAAGGAAATTGAATATAAAATAGGCTATACAAGGTTAGTTTCACCCAACACCACAAGATGCTACAAAAGCAAAACACCAACCTAAGAAATCAAGTTGGGCTTTTAAAATGGACTTGTCAGATCAAGACTTTCATATGGATGTCAAGCATGGTGCCCAACCATCCAAAATTGTCTGTCAACTATATGCATCCACTTTCTCAGATCAATGATTACGGTCTTGGATATAACCATCCTTATATATATATATATAGTTGCCTTGATATTAACTGAAGAATAAAATTCCTGCATAATACAAAAGATATATTTAAAACAAGGTCATGAGATTTAAAACAATCTGCATTTTAATTTTAGATCAAATTATTAAAATGTATTCAGTTACTTAGTTGTTAATTACACACATTAATTAATTAATTAGGGTGTATGGTCTAAAGCTTCTTTTGTTAGTAAAGAACAATAGAATAGAACATTACTCACTTTTTCAGTATTGCTAAATTTAACATTTCTACATTTGAAACACTAATTTACATCACTCACATTCTTAAACATTTTTTTTAAGTAGTCTCATATTCTGAATTCAGTGTTTTCTTTTTGTAGAGAAGTCAAAACAGAGTGATTTTTCATGCTTCTGTGAACTTTTTAGACCAAAATATTTTCTATTTATATTGACTGGACTGCTGTCCTCATCTTTATTGCTATATTCACAACATTTTGTCCATTGTATGCTCCAGACTTCTTCAGGTGATATTAGCTAGAATTTTGAACCAAACCTGTTATTTAATCCAAGGAAGTAGATTGTTCTAATTCCACAATGCCAAGCCTTTGGATATCTCAGTTTCAGTTATCTCCCTTTAGTAACTCAACTCTCCAAGTTTTTGTTCACCTCTGCTGTGGCCAGGGATTGAACTCACAACTGCTTGAATCAAATCACTTTTAAGATCTCTCAACCAATTCTTTTATCTACTAACAAAATATTTTCCCCCATGTAAATCAAAATATAACTGTGTATTTTTCTTTAAAATTTCAATTCTTAGTAAATTTTGAAGCCACAAAAATCAATTCACATACAACTTTACCTACATAATCTTTGTTAAAATATAAATAAACTGCAGTTTTAAATTGGACAATTACTGCAAGTTTATTTATTACATTAATAGTAAGTAACGCCACAGAAAAGCAATACCTAAAGTTTAAAATAAATTTTTAAAAATGAAAAATCTTTGACACTTTTATTTTACTTTTAATTTAAAGCTAATACCTTAAATTTAATATTTCCAAGGAGTAAAATACTGAGTTGTATTTCAAAATAAATCTAAATTAACTGGAAAGAAGTTTTTGTTTTGAAATCACTAGTGCCATTTTTAGCCATCTGTCAGTACAATTATAATTTTTTTATTAAAAAAAATCTTTCAAAAATAAAATATGCTTTCCTGAAATTTTACTTGAAGAATATTAGCAGATTTAAAGTTTAATTAATCTTATTTAAAATAAATATTATAGTTTAAAATATCACAGAAATGCATTTTTAACTCACAGTGGTAGCTGTTTATTTAACATGTTGACAGCTTGACTGACTGAGAAAAGTTCATTTTTTTTTTTTTTTTTTATGGTGGACATATCTAAAAATTACTTGAGGAATGTAACATAAGTGCCTTATTATTTAATTTTTAACTACCCAGTAATCTTAAAAATTTAGGGAAATATTCCCTGTAACCTAATGTTTTATTGACGGTTGTGGTACTTTGGTTTTAAATTTACTATAGTTATTGTTATAGCTATTTTCTGATAATGTAATGTATGAACATCTGTATTTACAAAAATTGTCAAAGAAAAAAAAAATTCAAAAAATACTGGACAGGATAGTAATCTTTTCTATTCATGATTAGCAAATATAATTCTTATTTAATAATATCGCCTAATTGGTACAAATTTAGACAGAATTTTAAAACTTTATAAATTATTCTAATTAAATTTTTTAAAAATGAAAACAATTCTTGTAGAAATAAATTATTCATAAAACAAGTGTCGTTTCTTAAGACAATAGTGTCTATAATATATTCTTATTCATAAAAGCGATTAAAAGCTTTTTTAATTAAATAATGTCTTAGTCTTATTGCATTTTTTTATTTTATGATTCAGAGCAGATTTTCTCTAACTGGTGATCATGTTTTACAAAAAAAAAAAAAAAAAAAAAAAAAATGACTTAAATTCTCCAAGGAGTTCTGCTTGTAACTAATATTAACATTAAGCAGTACCAAAATTTCTTGAAATTTCATAAAATTAAATAAGCGAGAGGTAAACAGATGTAAAATAAAAAATATTTTCACCAAGATTTTCTAAAGAGGAAACATTTCTAAAATAATTTCATTTATTTGTAAATAAGTCTTGAAAGTTTCATTAAAATCCAACAATTATTTGATTTTTGCAAGAATTTCCAAATCAATGTATTTTTCACTACAAAAAAAAGACGCTAAAATTTCCTATAGTAATCTTTGGTTCCCCTGCTGATGCAAGAAAAACAAAATTTTTAATCAAAATTTTGAGCATTCTAAAAAAAAAAGATTAAAAATTTAATAATCCAAAATTCTTTAGTCTTTGCTCTTAATAATAACAAGATTTTGTCAATAAAACTGTGTTTTTATTAAGTTTGGGGTATTTTAGATTAATTTTTAGGCACTTGTTGATATCATATTTTAACAATTATTAAAAATTAACAAACAATTAAAAAAAATTGACTATATAACTAAAACACATTTAAAAAATGTTTTAAAATTTTTCATTTAAAATGTCAGTCCCCTTTCCTTCATGTGCATTGTAGTTACATTAACATAAACGTCACTTTAAGTCAAATGAAGACCCAAAGACATGAAAAATATTCTTCCACTTTGTCAGATTTTCCAAGGAAAAAAAATGATAATTCTTAATTCACCAATAAATTTTATCATTAAAATCTTTTTCTTTAAAAAAAAAAAAAAAAAAAAACTTTAGAGAAACCAGTCTTTGAAATCATAGAAAGTGGTACAGACAATTGAAATTTCTAAGACATAATGTAATGAGGAAAGAGAGCCTGGAGAATTTAACACTCACAAGACATTGAACTGAAGGTAAGAGGGAGCAGCAAAAAAAAACTGCAAATAGCCTACCGAATGTGCATGTGGATGGCAAAGAAATGACAATAATAAAGAAAGAGTTAATAATTTAGTTGCTTAGAGCTACTAAGGACAGGAAGTTGTGGAGAGCAAGATCCTCTAAATCCTGACGGGATACGGAAAATAAGAGATGAGCCTTGCCCTTGTAGACAATTTTTTTATTGAAAGAATAAATCAATCAGGTTAAAAATTTTTTCAAACATTTCGCATTTCACATGAAATTTCATTTGTTGTCATAATCCATATATAATTTTTTTTTATTGCTGAATGACAAGGCATAACCTTTTTGCGTTTTAAAATGATTAATTATTATTTGATTTTATTTTTAAAAAGTATCTTTTTCTTATGGGAAAGATGGTTATTATTATCAAAGAAGTTTTTTTGCATTTGTTTTTTATTCACACAAACGAAAATTCACATTTTCAATTTTTGGATATCGTCATCTTTTCAGAAAAATAAAATTTCAGGATAACCTGTCCCAAATTAAAAAAAAAAAAAAAAAGCATTGACTATTGAAATTCGCAAAATGATTCAATGCACGATTTTCATTTATTTTTATTTTAAGAGAAAGAAGAGCTCAAGAATTTTGAACTTAAAATTTGATCTGAAGAAGAAAAAAAAATTTTTTTCTTTTCAAAAGAGAAACAGGAAAATCTTTTTCGCAATAAACCAAAGAATGGAGATTAAAAAAAAAAAAAAAAAACTTGATTCACATTGTAAAAATATTCTGTTTCTTTTTATTTATGAGATAATAAATAAATAACTTAAAAATGATGAATAAAAAAAAAATAGTTGAGTTCAGGAGGGGATCAATTTCTGAATGACTGCCAAACATTTTTAAAAAAAAAGCCCAACACGATTGAAATCAAGGTCGGGTTTTTTGTCCCATTTATTATTATTATATTATTTAATATTTATTATTTTTCTGGTAATCAATTTCTAAATTTAAAGACCAAGGTTGGATCTTTAAATTTACAAATTGTCAGGAATCTTTTATTATTGGAAATAAAATTAGAGATCAGATCAAAAATTTAAAAGCGTAATGAATGATTTCTAAGAAAAAAAAATCTCTGATGAAAATAGTTTAACCCAAAATGTTAAGCATCTAAAAAGACTATTAATTATTAATTTATTACTTAACCAGAAAAAAGGACATGACACACAAGGTCATGGAAATGTTTTTATTTAGATGGATTTTTCTCCTCCAAAAATGCAACCTTGAACTTAAAAAGATCAGATATTTTAGATTAGAACAAGTAATATTGCTTGGTGAAAAGTTAAACTGCATATTTATAAGGGTAATTATTATAATTAACGATTATAATAAGGGAACAAATTAACAATTAAGAATTTCCCTCTGCAATTAAAATTAAAAAGGAAAAGGATTTCAAACAAAATGTCATACTCAAAGTTAGCACAACAACTATTTTAATTTGATACAATTTTAAAATAAAAAGTGGAAAATACTTTTGTTATTTTTTTAAAATATTATATAACAATCAACAACAAAACAGGGTTAAGAAATATAACATCAAATCTACGGACATAATATAAGGGGATCATTTTGTAATAAAAACGTATTAGTAAAATGAACCCCCAGTTTGTGGCCAGCAAAGAGTGGGCACCGCGTGACAGTTATTTAGACGTTTGATCGAAATAGTGAAATTAATGCACAAATACCAACAGAGCCGAATTAAATTGAGGGACTTTTAGAGAGCCCAAAAGGGCTGATATTTTCGAAACCTACCTGGATAAATCTCGAAATATTGCGGACTGACAACATGACGTGAAGGTCATGCAAAACCCAAGCCTTCTCAAAGTGACGGTGTTACTGTTAACAGCCGCAGATACGCACCTTTTCGGGTTTAGTTACGTCTGGCACATAAGCGGGGGAGAACACGCTTGCGTTGATTAGAGTTTTAAAAATATCCGCGTCTAAGGGAAATAACTCATATTGCATTTTTCTTAAGCAGCATCAATATACAAAGAACTTAAAACGATTACTACGTTACTTATTTTAGTGCATCATTTTTACTTACAATTATTGCTACGTGACGCAAGCAATAGTCAGTGCATTATTTACTTAAATAAATTAGCCGTATCTAATATACAACTGTAACTTATATTATTGCCAACTAAAACTTTTACATTTACATAAGTAGCAGAATAATCATTCTAAGATGTTTAATTGAAATAAGTGCTGTGTAGTTTACAGTATTAAGCTACTGAATTTTGGCCTAAGACTACAAGCACAGGAACACACAGTAAAAGCTTCACATTAATGATCTACAGGTTTGATTCCTGTTGAGATGCACATTGTCTTCAACAAAACTTCTTTATCTCTCGGCTGGGTGACATTAATTTCACTGTTGAAAAGAAGTCAACTCAAACATGTCTACCCAATAAATATGTTTATAGTAATACATACATACATACATACATACATATATATATATATATATATATATATATATATATATATATATATATATATATATATATAGTTATTTAATAATTGTAATTGATTAGATCCAATATAAGCCCTAAGCACCCAATGTGGACTAAACACACTACTCTGTAGTAAAGATATGTAAGACAAGTTTGATAAACATTATAACATCGGCAAGTGTCTGCATGTTCACTCTATCCAAGGTCCAAAAGAGTTACTAAACAAAGTTGTTATATGGATATATGTGAAGGAAGTAAATGCAGATTATGAGGATAGAAAATGGTTGACTTTAGACTTGAAGTGGTTAAAATTGTTGTGATCGGTGTAACATTCTCTTGAGAGTCTGTTCCACAAACAACACCTTTCTGACCAAAGTTAAATTAGGTCTCATTTGAATACACATGGAGACTTACCAGACCCTATTCATAACATATAACAGCATCATCTACATGCAAAAAAGGCTAAAAATAATGGAAGCCTTATTAATAAAAACAAAAAAGGCAACATTCAATGATATCAACTATGAACATGAACACAATATCTTGACTGTGTTTTGAAAATGAAAACATTATATAAATACATACATACAACAAACTATTTCTTGCTAACAGTTAATATATTTTAACCTTGAAAATGGCTAAATGTATTGCCAAAAGCACTCAGAAAAAAAGAATAATTGGATAGTTTTTAGATAATTAATCAATCGAAAAGAAAAAATTATTAGATCACATGAGAAATTGTATAAAAAACTAAATCAAAGCAACTTGTCTGTCATATTCAATGAATGTGCTTGAAAGAAGGATTTCTGCCTAAACACACACACAGATACACACACACACACACACACACACACATATAATGTCATTCACATACAGGCCTGTTTCGCTGTATCACAGCTCATCAGTGCAGTTAGACATATATATATATATATTTAACTGGACAGCTCCACTGTCTTAACAGTAAGCTATTAATATTAATATTTAAATTTTACAATGATCAGTTTTCAGTCAGTAACTGAAGATTGTGCATGAAACCCAGAACAGTACCAATTATTTTACATTGAACATTTTATTACCACTAGCACTCATTCTTCAATATGTTACATATATATATATATATATATATATAAATATATATTTTTTTTTTTTTTGGTAAATGTATATATATATATATATACCCAAGTATATAATTGGTATATACGGAATGAATTCCAATAACCAACAATTACTATTCTTAAAAAAGAGTGCTCAATACAAAGTAGAGCAGATATAATTATTTTTATAAAAAAAAATTATAACATAAGTATGTTATAAAATCACTACAAAAAATAGCCATTTTGTTTCAACACACTCTGTGTCTTATCAAGTGATGATGTTGAAAATAAAATATTTTTTTTTATTTGTTATAATTTTTTTTTATAAAAATAATTATATATATATATATATATATATATATTATATATATATATTGTGACATAGAATCTCCAATTATATATAAAAAATGTCCTAAATAATTGATGTACAAACATTGACAGAAATCAAGTTTTAGATAAATTATTAAAGGTTTATTTACAAAAATACATTAAATACGATAGTTGTGAAAAAACGCATTCAAAAGATTTAATAAGTAAAAAAAAGAATAAAAGGGTAAAAGAAAGATAATATATATATATATATATATTGTGACATAGAATCTCTAATTATATATAAAAAAAAGTCCTAAATAATTGATGGGCAAACATTTACCAAAAAGAAAAATAAATATATCTTGGATATCCTGAGAAGAGTTAAAAGAAAGAGAAAGATAAAGAAAGACAAGAACACAAAGGTTCCTGAGGAAAGAGAAAGGAAAAGATACCCAACTTTTTATTTAAAATAAATAATAATGATAATAATTAGAGCAAAATAAGGAAAGAACAAACTACTCAAAAACTAAGTAATCACCATTAACATTTTTACACCTTTGCTCTGATTGATTTATATGTATATGTCTGTCCTGAATCTTTAACAAGAATATTGAAATCTTCTTCCTATAATATATTTTGCTATTATCTTTCTTTTACCCTTTTATTTTTTTTTTTTACTTATTCAATCTTTTGAATGCGTTTTTTTGACAACTATCATATTTAATGTATTTTTGTAAATAAACCTTTAATAATTTATATAAAACTTGATTTCTGTTACTGTCATTCATTGGATATGGTTTATCGGTCAGGTTCATCTGTGAGGAAGACCTGAAGTAGATGACCCAAAATATACTTTAGGTTTAAAAATTGATTCCTTAAATTTGCCTGAAGACGGTCATGAGACCAGAAACCCGTGTAGCAATTATAACCAAAAATGTTAGCAGTTTCTCTCTTTTTTTAAAATACACTTTTTTCTCTCATTGGAACAATTATAACCTTTTTCCTATATATATATATATATATATATGTGTGTGTGTGTGTGTGTGTGTGTGTGTGTGTGTGTGTGTGAAATAAAACCTTATTTCCAACACAATTACATACATACATACATACATACCATTTTAACATGCTCACACTTTTTTCTACTCAATAACAGACAATATTAAAAACCTGACCCCAAAATTCCACAATCCAATACACACCGCTTAAATCAAAGTATCTATTGGTTAGTACTTAACATGACCATGTGAAATATTTGACCAATCAGAGAAAGCTAAAACCCTATTTTTCTCTAGCCTACTTCCGGGAAAAAATTCTTATAAAAACCACAGATTTCGACTTTCAGAGAGCAGAGATGCAATTGTCTCCTAGCCATTCAAGATGTGACTACATAGATTTTTTTCTACCCCCACAGCACATGCTGAAACATGTGTTGGCAACTTCAAATGAATCAACTACAACAGCAGCAGCTTGGGCATTCAGTGAAATAAATAATGGGAATAATCAAAATTAATTGCAAAAGTCACAAGTGAAATAAAAATAATTGTTTGTATAGAAAGTAAGGACCTACGTTCATCAAATTGTTATTAAATTAAGTGGCAGCAGAAGAATTATTGTTGAACTTTTTGAATTTTTTTTTGAATTATTGTTTGAAGCTTAAATATTAATGCAATACTATATGTGATAGGGCAGCTTTTAAGGTAGTTATTAATAATTACCATTTCTCTGTCTCTTGATATTAAGTTCTGGAATAAAAAGTGGAGTTATAAATGATCATTTATGAGAGTAAGTTAAAAATTATTCACACTTTTGCCATAACATATCTTTAGGTTTGTCACACTGCCTTGTGCTCATGTGTGCTTATAATTGGTACTGTTGTAGTCACGTTATTTGAGCTTGATTGTGCCAGTTTTTTTGCTGCTGTTACAGTGTGAACATGGTTGCTCCACTAGCAGTGTGCACCAACAAAGAACAAAGAGCAGTGGTCCAATTTGTCTGGTCAAAAGGTGTATCAGGGGCTGAAATTCATCAGAGGCTTTTAACACTATATAGTGACAGTGCACTACTGCACAGAAGTGTGTATGAGTGAATCAAGAAGTTTAAAAGTGTCCAAACAAGTGTGATGCATGAAAAAAGAGCAGGATGCCTGTCAACCTCCACTACTGAGGAGATGATTCAGCCAACTTGGGAGATGGTAATGGCAAACTAGTGGGTTATCATTGATGAAGTAGCATATTCTTTGCAGATTCAGATCACTGCTCTTTGTTCCTTCTTGGTGCACACTAATAGTGGAGCGGTCATGTTTGCACTGTAATAGCAGCAAGAAAACTGATGTGATCAAGTTCAAACTTTGATCATGTGACCACAATAGTACAAATTATAAGCGCACATAAGCAGAATGTAGTATCACAAACCTAAAGATATGTTATGGCGAAAGGGCAGATAATTTTTGACTTACCATCATAGATGTGGACATGAAATAAATTTTTAAGTAATAGTTTTAAAAAGTAAAAGTACTTTTGCAACAGCCAAAATATTTATATAGCATTTTCTTGATGCCCTGTAAATTTTCTTCATAATTAATTAAGGTCTCTGTATTTCTTAAACAGTTTTTTGCATGTGTGACTGCGTGGCCGAGTGGTTAGAACTTCATGTTATCAACCTAAAGGAGACGATCACAGGATGAGTCACCTTTGGAAAGTTCCTAAAAAGCAAAATACAGATATAATCAAGCCTTGTGAGTGAAATTGGGTTGACAGAATTGTTTATTTTCTACATTTTGTATTTTATATTATCTTTCATGTTATTTAATAAATGTATTTGTTATGAATAATCAAGAGTGGTCTCCCTTGTTTTGTTACTCTCCTCTTTCGTAAAGCCTACATCTGCATACTTTTGTCATTACAGTATTATTTTTTTCAAATTTCAC